TAGTGATTTGGGGCGACTCCCGGACACTTTCTGTCCACGAGGCACAGTGGGGTTTGGCCAGGCAGAGGGGGCCTCAACCGGCTGGGGTGGGCTGGTCTGGGGGGGTGGTGGTGGGTGCCAGAAAGCCTGAGATCAGGGTAGGGGGTGGGGGGGTGAGGGGGTTCTGGGTGGTCAGCAGGCCACACCCGGGAAAGACCCCGGCTCGTGTGAAAGGCCATGGGGACAGCCACCACCTGCAGAGTGGCCCCGCGGAGCGCCCCGTGGGCTGTGACTAGAAATGGGGGAGGCAGACAGGACAGGGCGCTGGCCAGGCCTGGGCACAGTGCCGGGGATTCACGGGCCGCAGGGCCCTCGCTGGCCGCGAAGAAGCAGGTGTGAGGTCAGGTGCAGTGGGGCTGAGATGTCCCTGCGGGGTCTGTGTCCAGGGCACAGTAAAGGCAGGGGCAGCGGGTGTCACACAGGGGGAGGGGCGCGTGGAGCGGGGAGGATGCGGGGCAGCTCTGAGGGGTTTCCCTCTATGACGGCCTGGAGGATGCTCAAAGGTGCCGCGGGGAGCGGGGAGCTGGGGAGCAGCCAGGAGAGAGGAGTCGGGTCGAGAGATCCGGGTCATCTGGGGCGCGAAGGGTGGCCTGTCTTTCCCAGACTTCCCTGCCCCAGCCTTCCGCAGGGCCTTGTGTAATAATCCCCACAGAGCGCTGGGAGTTCCTCCGGAGGGACGGGAAGAGACAAGCCTTTGCTTTGCCAGGGATTCCGAGAAGGTGCAGGAGGCCCGGGTGGAGCTGTGTGCGCAGGGCAGGCCGCAGTGGGAGGTGCCGGGCCTCTGGGGGGGGCGGGCAGGGAGGAAGGAGGGCCCCTCCCATCTCCCTCCTCCTCTTCAGTCAGGAGAAGGTGGAACCCCAAAGAGAAAGGTGAGGGCAGGGCACCCCTGCGGAGGGGGAAGAGCTGCCCCAGGGAGGGAGAGGAAGGGGCAGGGCCTGCGGGCACAGAAAAGGGGTCCCATCCAGGTGCGGGGGAGGGAGGGGACTCAGAAAGCGGAGCCCCGGGCATCTGGGCTACTTCCCGGGAGGACTTCAGGACTGCTCCTTCCAGGTGGGCCCGCATGACACTCTCTGGTGAGCCACCAACATGCCACCGGCTGTTGCTCGTCCCCCATAGTCTCCCCGGGCAAGAGGGGGCCTCGGGGAGACCTCGGGACCAGGAGAAGCACGTGCGCCCACAGGTATGACCGGTGGTCCAGCACAGGTACACCGGCACAGGCCCCTTTGCCCGAAACACGGGGCCCGCTCCTCCCAGTCCCGAAGGGGGGGAGGCGCCTGCCTGCACACGGGCGTTCCCTCCTGCTCCGGGAGACGCCCCCTCCCCGGGTGACTGGCAAGGACGGCTCGAAAATGCGCAAGAATCCAACCTAAAACGATGCAAGCATCCCCACCACACCTGCCCGGCCTTGCCAAGCGGCTGCCGCCCGTGTGGCTCAGCGTCACGCGTGCCCAGGCCCACGCCGGAGGAGGGTCTTCCTGTCCAGTCGGCTGGAGGTCTTCCTGTCCAGTCGGCTGGTGAGCTCAGCGGCAGGGGCCATTTCTTCACTGCTTGACCTGCCGAAACCGTGACTACGTGAATGTCGTTGCCGCCGTGGCTCTACGGGAGGGGAGGGAGGCAGGGCCCTGCTCGAAGGAGCATCTCTGAGCACAAGGCGTCTCAGAAACCCGGAGGCCCACCCACGTGGAGGCAGGTGAGCTCTGCTCCCACTGGTGTCTCACGGGCTGGAACAGTGCCGGAGCCTGACGCTGGTCCACGAGCTCACACTGCCCTCTAGTGGTGACTCGTTGAAATGGCCTGTTGATGCTCCTGCGCATCCCAGGCCTCCGCAGGTGCATCCTGTGACCTGGGCCCCAGACTGGAAGCCCTGCTGCTATGAGAAATACTCTCTAAGGCCCCCCCCCGCCACACCGTAACAGAATCCACAGAGACTCTACTTACGCTCCAAATTCCAAAAGGATAAATGCGATGCTGGACCTCGGACGTAAAGCAGAGCTACGAGCAGTAAAAGGAAAGAAAGCGCCTCCCAAACCGCCCACTAGGGGGCAGTGCTGTGCTCACTGAGGACGCTTTGCAGGAGCAGCGCCCAGAGAGGAAACAGGTCTGGCGGCGAGGGGCCCAAGCGGTCCCACCCGCTCCTCCGCTCGGCCGGCCGGCTGACTCCCCAGCAGCGCAGACAGAATGACAGCACAGGCATGGCCGTGTCCCAACAGAACTTGGTGAAGGCAGGTGCTGGGCTGGACTTGGCCACAGGACGCAGGTTGCTGACCCCTGGCCTAGGACACCCCCTGCAGCGCAAAAATGAGAAAAGGGGGTGCTGACAGAGAGGGGTGGAGGCTAGGAAAGGAGATCCTGACCGAGGGAGGGCGAGGAGGCCAAGTCCCCTGACTCAGCCCCCACCTGGGTCCTTCCCACGAGCCCCCCCGGCTGCCCCGAGGGGGGTTGGGGCAGGGAGGGGTGGGTGGGCACCAAGAGAAGCTCTGTGTAGGTCTTCCATCCCTCCAGTCCCCGCCCACCCCCCTCTGTGCAGCCCAGCGGCCCTCCAGCCCCTCGTGTATTCGTTCGTTAACTCACTCGCTCGTGGTCTGTTGGGCGAGGGCCCAAGCTGGCTTGGCCCCCCGCCTGGCCCAGGGGAGCTGCCCAAGGGCGCGTCGGCCCTCTCCAACCTGCCCCACGGGCTGTATGCGGTGCCCACCCCCGCCCCCCCCCCCCCCCGCCATGGCCGGCCTTGCAGGCAGCTCTGATTTTTCTCCACGTCTCCCTGGGGCCTCTGCCTTCCTGTGTGTGTCCCCAGGATGGGCCTCACGGCGGGCAGTCAGCACAAAGCCACGGAGCTCCCGGGTGGGGGCCCCGGAGTTGCCCGGGTAGCAGGCCACGGGCTTGTGGGCACTTCCATGGGAGGGACACAGGAAGGGGGGCCTGGGAAACAGAAGCGTTCGCCCCCACAGCCCTCCTTCCGGGCCTGGGGACGAACTTCTCACGTCCCGCTGAATGCGTCTGATGCTCATTGTCATGCTCTCCTCGGCGCCCGGGAGGCCAGCGCTGAAGAGAACATTCCAGCAATACCGCACAGCAAAGTGGCATCCCCAGAGCGTAGGGTCACAGATAAATGGTGGACAGACAGACAGACATTCCTCGTGGAATAAGACCATTCAGAAGAATGAAAGTTTTACAGAAACACGCCCTGGAAGAGATGCGCATGCATCCTCCGTACCCGGAACTTCGACCTGGTCAGCGTGGGTGTGGATGTAAATGTTTCTCAAAGAAATGAACTCTCAGCCCTGGCTGGTGTGGCTCAGTGGATTGAGTGCCAGCCTGTGAACCAAAGGGTTGCTGGTTCGATTCCCAGTCAGGGCATATGCCTCAGTTGCAGGCCAGGTCCCCAGTTGGGGGTGCAAAGAGGCAACCACACATCGATGTTTCTCTTCCTCTCTCCCTCCTTTCCTCTCTGTCTAAAATAAATAAAATAAAATCTTTAAAAAAAAAAAGAAATGAACTCTCTGAAACCAGGAAGAAGAGCAGGAATGAACTTTCCTTTGACCCTGTTGTTCACTTCATTCTTCAGACGGGGCAGAGACAGGCTGCTCCTCGCACCTGAGCACCCTTGCCGGCCGTGGGCCCTGGGGCGGGGGTTCGGGCCTCTCCCGAGACTGTCTTGGTCTTTTCTGGGGGGGGGGCACAGAGTTTGGGGTGCAGGCAAGGCCACCTCCTTGCCCTGCCTCCCCATTAGCCCAGCTCCCCCGCCGGGAGCCCCACAGCACCCGGCGGCTCCTCTCCAAAAGCCCATCGTGGTGGGCACAGCAGGTGCGGCGTCTGTGCACCCAGTGGCTCCGCGACTCACGCAGGTCACGCCCACGGGGGGGCTTCCCAGCCCCCACCGTGTCTTCACAGCCCACCCACTCGATTGATCTGTGTTCCCGGCGTGTTCGCCGAAACCTGAGTCTCCGGTCCCAGGCTTCCTCCCTGCGGCGAACCTTCACCTCACGTGACGCAGACGTCAGGGCGCAGCCGTTTATCTTCAGCAATAAAGATAACGTGCCGTGCGCAGTGCCCGGTGCACATGGTTAACTGTTTGACCCAGAAGTGAGTGACCGCCCGGTTCGGGAATCCAGCAAACCCGGTGAACCCCAAACACCACGTGCCCGGGGGCTGCTGCTGGAGTCCGCAGTCCAGGGTTCGGATGCGCACCGGACCCGTTGCCCAACCCGTGTATGGACACGCACGGTGCCCCGGTGAGGTCGCCGACCCCAGCCTCGTGCCTCTCCAGAGACCCAGCCGGCCTGCCCCCTGCTGGAGGGCACGGACACGCCGCTCCCCCAAGTTAAACCGCAGTCCCTCGTCCACAAAACATAGTTAATTATGAACCAACACACGCTCTTGCCGCTCCGATTCAGTGCCCTCTCGCCGGCAGAGCACCCTGGGCACACACCCGAGAGGCCAGCGTTTGCTGCGGTCACGGCGGCCGGCGGAGCCGGAGGACCACGACCGGCCACCCTCACGCTGGAGGGCCCTCCAGCTCTGAAACCCCCTCCGACGAGTGACCGGCCTGCTACCATTTTGCTGAAGTGGCCGCCCTTCGAGGGGACGAGCTGGGCGGAGCACTCCACGGAGAGTCGGGGTTCACCATCAGAATCTGCCCCTTCCGGAGAGGCCTGGCGTTGTTTTTAGGGTGGGCTGTTTACCCCGAAGCGGAGAGACGCTCAAGGCACAGAGAGGAAACCGGAGTTTGCCGGAGGAGGAGGAGGGCCGGGGTGGGGGGAGGAGCGGAGGAAGGGGAGGAGATACGTGCGCACCCCCAGGCACCAAATGAGCCCCAGGGAACCGCCGCCGGAACAGGACAGCGACCCTGGGCAGAGGGCGGCCACCCCGTGGGGCGGGTACCCGTGGAATCACCGCGAGTGTGCCTGGCACGAATACGATGCCGTGTGTCGGTGGTTAAACGGACAGATAAAGCAAGAACACCGTTCAAGAGTGTTTAAAAGTGTGTTTAAAGGGAATAGTCCTTAAATACAACATGTTTCTATCCGAATGTTTTTGACTGCCCGTCTCAAGTGGCTGACAAGGAAACATCCATGCTCCGAGTGGAGCCCGTCTCGAGTGTTACAGGTGTTTCAAAGCCGGGACGCGGTCCGAAGTTCTCGCTGACGGGGTCGCCAAGGTCCGGAGTCCGGGCGGCGTGAGGACGCCCCCGGCAGGAAGAGCGCAGAGGGACTCGGCAGAACCCTCGCGTGTCCCTGCGCAGCCCCGCTCCGGGCACTTCGTGTGTCCCAGGCATCCCACACGCCTCCGCGCCTCCTCGGGCGCGGTTCTGACCAGCCAGGGGCCCGGCCCCTCTCTCCGCTCAGGGAGAGCAAAGGTCCCCGATCACGGGACCGCCCGCCTCCTCTGGGTGTGTGAGCGGCAGGCACCCTCGGGGGAGACGCCACCCTCTCCAGCTCGGGGCGGCACCCAAGCCGGCTGAGCTTTATTCAGAACAAACGGGGTGCCTTCTTGCCTGAGCCAGCCGCTCCTTGATTCTGAGTGAACGTGCCCACCCCCACCCCCCCCCCCCGTGAGGCCCACGGGTGCTGCGAAAGGGGCCCTGGGCTCTGGGGGCCCAGCGGGAAGGCCCCCCCTCCCGTCTGAGACCGAGCTCAAGGAGCAGGGCCCCCCCGCCCCTGTGCCCCACCCCCGCCCTTGCATTCCGCCTGACGCAAACACACGTTCTCGGAGCTGAGTCAGCGTGGACGCCCGGGCAGGCATGCCGACCTCCCGGGGGTGAATTGTTTCCCGGTTGCTCACTTACAAAGCAAAGGACGGGTGTGACGTGCTGGCAGGCAGGAGCTGAGGGTGCGGACACCCCCTCACCTTTGCACTCGCAGTGACGCAGGGCCCAGCGGGGACAGGCCTGGTCACGGTGCACCCGCACGGCCCTGAGAGCGGGCCTGCGGCAGTCACCCCCCCCACCCCCCCACCCCGTCCCAGAGGACAGGACGAGGCTCCCCGACTCGGGGCCCGCCTGCCCTGCATGGCGCCGCCGCGGCCCATTCCTTCCCCGGCCCCCGGCCGGGCAGGAGCCTGCACGTGGGTGGCCAACGACACCGGTGTCGAAACGGAAATGACCAGGCCCAGGTGGGTTGGTGGGGGTCTCCGGAACTTGCTGCAGCATTACTGTTGTGTTCTGACGGACTTTCCCACAGTGCTTTTAAACCGAAACTGCATTTCGCCTCCTCGCCCCGCAGGCTGCAGGGTAACAAATTTTGTTTTTCTTCCGTCTTTTCACGTTCCGATCTCCTTACAAAAGCCCCAGGATGGGTATCGGCACCTCAGTGCACCACTGGGCTGGTTGGGTCAGCAACAGAGGGTCCCGGGAGGCCAGATGGTGCACCCTGAAGTCTCGCCTGTGGCCTCCAGCACCTGGTCCTGGAGGGACGAGTTCTGAACCCCTCTGTACTGGAAACCTTTGTTCGTGGAGTGAAACGAGAGCTCCATGGCCCCTCACCAGGAGAAGAGATCGCAGGCGCTCAGGTGCGTCGAGCTTCTCCCGGGAAAGGCACAAGGCTCGCCTGCAGTGCTGCAGACAGGGGGGCCGGCCCGAGGGTCTGGGGTCGCGGTCATGCCAGCGCCGTGACCGCCCCACGGGCCGGAGGGCGCCCCCGCTCACCTTCCCCACCCTCGCGGGAAGGACCCTCTGCAAGCGGAGGTCCTCTTTGAAGAACACAGTGTCACGAGATACAAAAACTATCACAGAAAGGCAGCCGGCCGGGGCTGCACGGGACCCTCCGATCGGCCAGCCCGGCCGGCCCGCAGGTCACGCCCCGAGTCACCCGCCGGGCCCCCGGCAGGACTCAGAATAAAATCCCGTCCCGAGGGGCGTCCTCCATCGGCTTCCTCATCTCCTGCTTCCGCCTGAGTCGCGCCCTCTGGTACAGGACGACGATGGTCACGGTGGCGCCGTTCAGCAGCAGCACGAGCAGCGTGAGCCAGAACGAGTACCCGTAGCCGTGGGCCTCCACCCTGCGCGCGGCCGGCGGGTGCGGTGGGTACAGCGCACGGGCCAGCTCCTCCGAGAGGCGGTTGGACTGCACGTTCGCCACGAACAGCACGGAGGCCAGGAAGGCGAGGGACGCTGGAAGGAGAGGGGGCGGGTCAGCGATGCGGGGACACACCGTTGAACGGCGCTGTTGTCTCTGTGTGACGTGTACCCTGTGGCCGCCGACCGAACCTACTCTGGGGGGGACCTGCTGTCGGGCGCAGGGGTGAACGGGAAAGAGACGCGAGGCCCAAGCTGGGTTCTCGGCACGGGACCCCGACCTCGGTGCAGGGCTGTGTGGCCCGGAGCAGCCGAGGGGGCTCAAATCCTGCCAGCGGACATCACCGTAGAACATCTACATGGTAGGTGTGCTGCACACAGTAGGTGTGCTGCACACAGTAGGTGTGCTGATGGGGGGAGGCTGTCCAGAGAGGGCCGGGAGGAAGAAAGGACGCGGACGAGCTGGGGCAGGGCCAGCAGCGTTTCAACTGGAAGCAGCAGCCCACACGGAGAGGCGCTGCCGGCAGGGAGCTCGGGGCGCCGGGGGCGGGAGGCGAGCCCAGCCAATGGGGGGCCGTCCTGAGGGCCGTCCCCGAGCACCGGACACAGACAAAGAGGGCCGCCCCCCGCCGCCACTGAGAGCCCCCCACGCCAGCGGGGCGGGGCTGGGAACACGCTGCACACAGCGGGGTGTGCACAGCCCCTCACCAGGCGGGGTCTCCTTCCCGGACACACTGCAGACGAGAATTTATGAGTTCTGCATCCTCCCTTTTACTGTCCTTCACAAAGTCCTCCACCAGAGACCACCCCTGGAGCCCTGGCTGGTGTGGCTCAGTGGATCGAGCGCTGGACTGTGAAGCAGAGGGTCGCTGGTTCAATTCCCGGTCAGGACACATGCCTGGGTTGTGGGCCAGGTCCCCAGTGGAAACCACACACTGATGTTTCTCTTCCTCTTTCTCCCTCCCTTCCCCTCTCTCTAAATAAAATCTTTACAAAAGCAAAACAAAGCCAGCAAAACAAAACCAACTTTGGAAAGCCACCCTGGGCCCAGGGGAGGGGATGTGGTTCTGGGCTCAGACTGCAGGAGGGGGGCGGCCCAGCCACGCAGCCCCCGTGGGTCTCAGCCTCTCTGAGCCCTGCCCCCATCTGCCAAGGGGGAGAGGCTAGAGACGGGAGGGAGACTCCAGGCTGCATAGGGTGCGTTGGGCGAGGGGGAGGAGGCACAGCTCAAGGACTCGGGGCTTCTGTCTGAGGTGGTGAAAACATTCTCAGGCCGGCCGTGGCCACCCTGCCTGTTCCGTGGACGCGGCAGGCCGGCTGGGCGGCGACTGGGCGCAGGGGTGAACCGTCTCTGGGCCGAACCGCAGGCCAGCTATTTACGGAGAGGGGACTCAGGGTTGGGGGCTGACCGTGCCAGGTGGCCATCAGGGGTCCGCAGACAGAGGTCCCCAGGGACACACGCCATGGGACATTTACCCAGAACCAGACGGCCAATCCGGCGCCCAGCGTGTCTGGGCCACAGCCGACACCCGGGAGCCTCCCGAACGGCCCCCTGGGGAGCCCTAATTATAGGGCGTCGGCGCGAGGGGCGGCGTCCACTGCCCTGATGGCAGGCGTCCACCCTCCGCGCGAGGGTTTCGCTTCTCTGTGGTGAGCACCTGCCAAGGCCCCTCCCCCGGCGCCCCACGCGGCTCGCACCCCCTCATTTTCCTGCATTACGCCCTCGTGACCTCCTTGTAAATGCGTGGGCCCCAAGGGGCCGCACGGATCTGGGGTTAAAGAGCTTTGCTAGCCCTGGTTGGCGTAGCTCAGTGGACTGAGCGCGGGCTGCGAACCAAAGTGTCGCAGGTTCGATTCCCAGTCAGGGCACATGCCTGGGTTGCAGGCCACGGCCCCCAGCAACCGCACATTGATGTCTCTCTCTCTCACTCTCTCTCCCCCCATTCCCTCTCTAAAAATAAATAAATAAAGTGTTTAAAAAGAAGAACTTTTCTGACGTGGATGCACGTGGCTTTGATTTGACTCGGGAAGGGTCAGCCCGCAGACTCGAACCCTGGCCTGAGCCTCTCGGGTGTTCTGGAGCAGGAGGCTGAAGGGCTGGCTTCCCGCCCTGCCCTGTCCCCTCGGGCCCTGTGGCCTGCCCCATCCCTCACTCTGTCCCCCCGGGGTTCTCGGCCAAGGGCCAGGCGCCGGGGCTGATGGTTCTCTCCGGCTCCAGCGTCCCCTCAGCCCCTGCGACGAGGGTGTCCTGTGGTTAGGGTGGGGCCGGGCTGGTGTGGTGGGAAGGGCAGGCTGGGGTCAGAGGGCACAGGCCCTCAGGGAAGGGGTTGGGTAGGGGTGCGGGCGGGGATGATCCTGCTGTGGTTTTCCTGGAAGCAGAACCCGCTCTGTTCTTTCCAAAACAATCCCAGAAGCCCGCTTCCTCTCGCGCCCTGGGCCGCGGAGAGTGTGTCCAGGCCCGGCCCACTTCCCTCTGCTTCCTGGCAGGCGGTGACCCCTGCCCCCGGCCTACGACCCCAGGCATCTCTGCGCACAGAACTCCTCTGCGGGGGTGCACAGAGACCCGCGGAGTCCTGCAGCCCCGGGGCAGCGCGGAGACCACGTGGGGTCACCGGACATCGACCCCGGGGAGGTCTGGCCTCGCCAAGCGTGGGGGTCAGGAGGCGGAGGCTGCCCCGGGGTGCCAGGCTCGGGGCCAGAGACCTTCCTGGGCCTCGGGCCTGGTCAGAACCGGTCAGAACGGGCCAGAACTGCGACCTCCTCCTGGCGCAGCGAGGTCGAAGACTGTTCCTCCACCCACCGGCAGCCTCTGTGTCCGGGCCAGAACTTGCCCCAGGCAGGGAGAGGACTGTGGCCCCGATTCTGTCCCTGTCAAACCGCTCTTTGTTGTGAGCAGTGGGCGGGGAGGAGGGAGATCGGCAGGCCCCCGGCTCTTAAGTGTTTTTCTCCACGGGCACTGGGCCTCTGCCGTGGGCCACGTCGGCTGAGGCTCCGCCGCGGGGGGGGAAGAGCCTGGCGGGAAGCAGGGCCCCTCCTGCTGAGAGGAGGGCGGGCTCGAACCCTGAAGGCCATAGGCCTACGTCCAGTCCTCCTCTCTGCTGTCACCACCGGATTCTCCTCTCGGGACACGCCCCCAGCCTCGGCTCCAAGGTCTGCGGGTGTCCGCAGTGCGAGAATTCCACCCTGCGGGCCACGCTCCGGGGGCGGGGAGAGCGCTATCCCAGTGAGAGAGTCAGATCTGGGGGAAAAGAAGTCTTTTCCCCGGGGGGCCGTTTCCACGGGCAACGGGCCACGCCCAGTTGCTTAGCAACAGAGGGTGCACCGGGGACACGCAGAGACAGCACACCCAGGGGAACGGGGAGCCCCGGTGGTGTGTGCTGAGACCCCGATGCAGCTGTGCCTTAGGCCCCTGCTCGCCTGCCTTCTGAGGTACGTGAGCAAGAATCACAACAGCCTGTGCCCCTGGCAGTCCGCGCCAGCAGTACAGTCTGCCTTGGTTCGGCGGACTGAGGTCAGGGATAATCGCAGAAGCAGCCCCGGGAGCCCCGGCTCTTGGGGGAGGACGTGGGCGCCTGTCACCACGTCCCGGCCTCTGACACAGCCGCGCCGTGACACTGGGCGGCAGGGCCCTTGACCCCGGCCCACAGTGGACGCCCGTGAGCTTGGGGATTGTCTGTTTTGGCCACCAGGCGACTGCAGCGCAGACAGGAGGGAAAGGGCTGGGCATGCGTGGATGTGGCCGGACCGGCCGGGGTGTGAGTGTGCAGTGTGGCCGCCCGCGCAGGTTTGCCGGGACGGTCCCCGTCCCGCCTGGTGTCCTGGGCTAATGAGGGTGAGCTGCTCTTCCAAAAACGTCCATGTTGGATCTGAGAGTCACATGGCCGCCTGGCATGCCTGTGCCCTGTGCCGCGCGGGGGCCGGGTCGCCCACCCCGCAGCTACCGGCCTGGAAAAGTTCCCGGTGGCCGCGTTGGCACGGCTCCAGTCAGCCAGGGCTGCGGTCGGAGCCTGAGTGTGCCGTCCACACGCCCCACGGTCACCCACAGCACGAGGCAGGCTCCCTCCCAGCTGCTGCGCGCGGCTGGTGCGGGGACGGCCTCTCACGGGAGGACTGGAGGCAGCCGTCCGCTCCGAGGCCTCCTGGCGCCCTCGCCCCCGGAGCACCCTGCCTGGCCTGGGTGAAAATACACCCCCCGGAATGCGCATGTCAGCAGGGAGGGCCTCTTCCGGTCCTCTCTCAAGGTCAAGCTCTCACGGTGGGGAGAGGAAAGGAGCCGGAGAAACCTGGCCACCTGCCAGGAGCCGAGAGCCACCCACAGGACCGTGCCTCCGGGCCAATGTGGCAGCCACCGTGGGAGTCAGCCCCGCAGTGACTCAGGCTGGGGTCCATTTCCCGCCTGGTCAGCGGCCCCCACCCCGACACCTTTGCCCCACGAGCTAATAAACCCGCCACACACAGCGACGCCCTGGGCTCAGGGGCCGCCCACGAGAAGGGCGTGGGCGGCAGATTCCCCGGCGTGACGTTCTCTGTGGCACGATCAGGCGGCTGCGTCGTGGAGGGCGGCCCGGGCTGGCGGCTGTTCTGTGCGGGCGGAAGGGAGTGAGCGTGAGCGTGTGCTCTCTGCGCAACGCGCGGACTCCGCGTGAGAGGGAGACGCAGGGCAGGAGCGGGTGTGGGGGGGCGTGCTCGAGGGTTTGTGTGTGTCCTGTTTTCCAGCGTCTTTTTTACTGGCTGGTTTTAGAGGGAGAGGGGGGACGGGGGGGAGAAACGCTGGAGTGTAGTTCCACTTACCGACGCGTTCACTGGGGGCCCCGGACTGGGGACGGGACTGCAACCTCGGTGTGTCGGGACGACACTCACCAGCTGAGTTACCCACCCCGGGCCCCCGTGTGCGCGTGCGTCTTTTTTAACCCCTCGCACTAGGTGCTCAAAAGCAAGCCTGGTGCACGGCATGTATGTTTACACCTAAGAAGCTTTCTTTCCCCCTTGCCTTGCCTCTCTCACCAGCGCATTTAAAACAGACTCTTAGTGTCGCAGGTTCGATTCCCAGTCAGGGCACATGCCTAGGTTGCAGGCCACAGCCCCCAGCAACCGCACATTGATGTTTCTCTCTCTCTCTCTTTCTCCCTCCCTTCCCTCTCTAAAAATAATAAATAAAATCTAAAAAAAAAATAAATAAAACAGACTCTTATTCCCAGGGATGCTTAACAAATGCTGCAGATGTACAGAGTAACCCCCAGGCCCCGCCCCCAGCCTCCCGGTCTCCCGGCCGGGCTGGGCCCCTGCGTGAGGCAGAGGCAGCGGCAGGGGCAGAGGCAGGTGGGAGGCCGCGCTGCGGGCAGGGCCGGCCCCGCGTACTCACCGCTGAGCCCGCTCCAGGTGTACACGCCCAGCGGCCCCAGGAACGTCTGGTAGGGGTTGCTGATGCTGTTGTAGAAGGTGAAGCCGGCGCTCAGCAGAGACGTGGCCAGACTGAGGGTCAGGAACGAGATGACCACCGAGTGCAGAGTCTTCGGGGAAGACTGGGCCAGTGTCCCTAGAACTGGAACGAAGGCGGGCGAGGACTTTAGTGCAAAACGCAGACGCCAGCTCCGGGCCGGAGGCTGCTCCGCACACGCCTGGCATTCCGGCGCGTTCTCCCAGGCAGGTCCTGGGGGAGAGGCTCCCGGGCCTGCAGGAGCGGGACCCCAGCCCCCCCACTCACCCCCTTCCTTGAACCTCAGGTTGCAGAGGGGAGCTGCGGTGGGAGCCACCCCGATTTTAAGTCCCCCAGGAAAGCGCGTGCCCCCCTGAGTAAGCTGCTGCAGGCCGGGCAGCCTTCCCTTAGGACCGCCTGGCTTCAGACCCCAGCCAGTGGGCGTTACCGCGAATTCACGGGAGCAGTGACCGCTTCCTCGCGGACACACGTGCAGAGTGGGCCGCCCTGAACCCCCGCGACAGTGAGGCCCCGCTAAACCCCGAGGTTTCTGAGGTGTACCCAGAGAGCCAGGGTGGCCAGGGGGGAGGGGCTCACGGAGGAGGCGGGGCAAAGGCTGGCCCTGGTGGGGGGAAGTGTCCGGTGTGTGTGCGCCACTGAGGTGACAGCCTCCTCCCCCCTGGACGTCCCCGGAGCCGGACGGGCCCCAAAGTGGCTCGAGTGAGGCCGGTGGCCCTTGGGGGAGCCGTCAGATTTCTTTCTGAGCGGGATGCCTCCGTGTTGTAACAACACTTTATAAAATGTGCGTGTGTCTCAGGCACAGAGGAGCTCCGGACACGACCACGCACTCTGTCAACTGCAGCCCAGGTGCCCCCGGCCGTCGTCCTGTTTGTAACCCACCCCCCCGCCCCTCCCTCTTGGCTGGTGAGCAGAGCCGCCCGACCCCTAAAGCCCCAGGGCAGACGAGAGTGGACGAAGAGGGACATCTCAGCTCGTCACCCTGGAGAGGCTGACCGCTGCCTGGGGCCACAGTTCAACTGGCCTGCGTCCAGCCCGCCCGCACCTGGGGCCTGAGCTCCTTTTCCGTCTCTGTCCGTGACCCACGACAAGGCTAAACTCTCGGCACCGCCCCCCTTACTCGGTATCATTGCTTAAACACCTGTTGCCCAGGTGGGGAAGGATGGGGTTCGAGGGGCCACTGTCCTCTGGGGGAGGGGCCACCTGCCTGGGACCAGCCGGGACCTCAGGCTGCACCTCCTGCTTCTGTCTGGCTCCCCTTGGACCTGCAGCGACTGGGGGACCCCCTGCTCTACGCCGCACACACCTGTTTTGAAACGTGTGGAGGGTGACGCCGGGCAGCGGGAAAGGGAAGGGGAGGGAGCGGGGCACAGGTGTTCAGAGGGGCGGGGTCGGGGCTGCAGGTGGCTCAGAGCCGGGTCACCCAGGGAACCAGCAGTGTGCTGGGGCCCCGCGCCCTCTCCTCGGCCGAGAAGACACCGTCTGGATGTTCGCTGGAAAACGGAAACTTCAGGACAGACAGAGCTGTCCTGCGGCCCAGGCTCCCGGGCCAACGGCTGGGCTCCCAACGCGGGTGACGAGCTGGAAACGGGCGTCTGCTCACCGGCGGCGACCACGGCGCTCCTTCCGAGTCGATCAGAACGCGACAGTCAGCCTCGGCCTTGTGTCGGACCGTTGGGAAGGCCCAATGGGCATTTTTCAGAAGTGAGTCGGCTTGGAGCCGCATGACTCACCTTCCTGTGTATTAATGTGGCAATTTGTCTCAATTTGAGCGGCCGTATTTTAAGATTACATTTCGGCATTCTGCATCCCCTGCCACGCAGGTGCGACAGCTGTCTGCCCCCTCCCCGGCCTGGCTCGGGACCCAGACAATGGAGGCTGGAAACTCAGAGACAGGGAGCCAGGATGAAACGACAATACAGCACAGAGCATCTGACAGCTGCTCTCTGCCTGCAAAATTAGCAAATACGTCCCGTTCTTTTTCTCCCTTTCAGAGGCCAGGCTTCGGAGTCGGGGAAGAGCGCCTCGCAATCAGAACTAATTGCCTGGATGTGGGCAGCCCCGGAAGAGAGGCCAGGACTGGGCAGCGGGGGTGGGGGGGCCATGCGCAGAAATGGGGCTCCGGACATTCGGGCTCCCCAGGCTCAGAGACGAACCCTCGGGCACCCCCCGTCACTGCGTCCTTGGGCCCTTCTAGCCCTGGTTTTCTGTAAGTTGCCGGAAATCGAGGAGGGGGCGGTTTGTGGGTGGGTGGACACTGCCTGTGTCCCTCCTCCCTGGTCCCTGGGGAGCAGGGCCTGGTAAGCTCCTCGATCTGGGGACCGCAGGGTGCCCTTGGAGGAGCTCATCGAGGCTGCAGATCCCAGAGCGTGGGTGGGCCGTCTCCGCTGGTGTCCCCACCCCCCTGGGAAGGCACCAGGGTTCCCTCGGGGGGAGCAGAGCACAGCGACGCCTTCCTGCCCCGAAGCCCCATGTCCTCGAGTGGTTACGTCCCTGGGGGGCAGGGGCTGAGTCGCTCCTCCCTGGAAACGTACGGAGGAGAGGCTGGATGGGGCTTTCTGTCGAGAAACAGACCCCGCTTGTCCCCCTTGCAGTGCATGGGTCTTTGCAGCAGGTTCTCTTGCCGAGTCATTTTTGGCTTGGGCTGGCGGTACAGCTTGGAGCTCCCCAGAGGCAGACTGGGGTGGGTGGAGAAGAGGCTGGTGGGCGGGGGAGCCGGGCCGGGGTGGGACTCCTCGCTGTCGCGGGCACCTGCACACACCCTCGCCCCGCAGGTCCCGGGGGCCCGTGGGGTCGCGTCGATGTGCGGTCATTCTCTGGAAAGACTCCACGCCGAGTCGGCGAGGCGAGTGCTGTGTTCGCTCCTCCTCGGTGTCCAAGCCCCCACCCCCCCAGCAGCGGCTCGGGGCGGTGTTTCTGGCCTCGGGTGCAGCAGCCTCCAGAACGTCCTTCCTGCCGGCGGGCGGACGCGCAGGCCCGGCGACCTCTGATCTGGAGGTCGGAGAACGCGGACGCCTCCGGGTGAGGCTGGAGGGCCCGCTCAGCCTGCGCTGCCCAGTGACCTGGCTTCCCTGGCCGCCGGACGCACTGCTGCCCCCACCCAGTAACCCACCGTTGACGGAATGACCTTGGCACTTGCAAGTCAGCCACCGCCCCTCCGTTCTGCTTTTCCGCGTCAGAATCCACAGCGCCCGGTGGCGTGGGTGCCGCGTCCTGTGCGGAGACAGAGCCGAGAGGTGTGGTCTCCACCACCCTTCCGAGACTGCCAGCGGGCCCTGGTGCTGGCCTGGCGGGCACGGTGGGCCCACCCCTGCCGGGCAGGGCGGTGGCATCGACGCGGGTTTTAGTGTGCTGCCGACCATCCATCAGTTCGTGACTTGAACTTGAGATAAGCCCCGTGCGGTCACAGACGCCAGCAGGACAGTGGCCATGTCTCCCTGTGGGGTTGGGGTTCTGTTCTCTTCGGGGAGCACTTGCAGGGCTGCGGCAGTGGACCCCACGATGTATGGGCTAGGTGCACGCCTTGTCCCGTCTGCTCCGGAGAACTGCGTGCGACTGTTCCAGGGCCAGCGGTTGCTAAGGTCGGCGGCAGTGAGGCCACTCTGGTGTCCACCTTCACGATGGCACCTGGCATATCCCGTCCAGCACCTGGAGGCTGACCGGGATGGGGGGTCGGAACGCGGCTCCCTGGGAGCAGAGAGTTCAGGGAGAGAGCCAGGCAAAGCAGGTGCCAAGTCCCACCTCCTTGGTACCCCCACGTCGCTGTGGGAGCCCACCTGGTCCTGTCTCCCCAGGCCTGTCCTTGAACCCACGCCATCCTGCCATCTCCGCTCCCCCGAGCCTCCGTCGTGCACAGGGGCCCTCGGACAGAGCTCAGGGAAGCCCAGCATCGCAAACCAGACCCGCTGGTTCCAGACACTGAAACTCAGAAAATCCACAGGGTGCTACCTGCCATTGTAAAATTTCTAAGTACGTCTGGAGATTCAGAACCTGGCGCACTCTTCGAGTTTGAGAACTCTGGTCACGTAACCGACAGTGTGGCGGTATCTTTGAAAGTCTGGGTTTCTAGGGGTTTTCCTGGGAAGCTGTCGGGGGTGGGGCTGGGGGGGAGGAGGCGCTGCTGCTGCTAACGTCTAAGAGACACGTTTGTGACTGGGAACCAGAACCGGGCTGCTCGGGATTTAAGGAAGTCGCTTCATTAATAAGGTCACCAACTAGACCTAGAACCTAGAGCGAGAGGGTGAGGCTCAGACTGCCACCGTGAGCATTCGGACAGGACCTGGAGCTGCAGTAGGTCAGGCGGAAAATGGCGCGCACTTGGGGGTTGGCAGGCAAAGACGGCGCAGGCCCGCTGACCTCTCAGCACCCCCGTGGGCGACGCTGTGCGAAGCAAGTCCCAGTTAAGGTGCTACACAAGTGACAAGCATCGCTTTCACATTTAGAAAACAGAATGGTATCCGTTCAAACTCCAACAGTCAGAGAAGGAGCTAATTCAACCAATCACTCTCAGTTCCACCCATCAGGAGTTGGACAGTATTGTGTAAGAAATCAGAAAAATGTAGGAGTTCCTGTAAAATATGGAACTAGTAGAATTAATGAAAATTCACTATCATGCCCAACAACGATGGGCATTTTGGAGGTAAAGGTGCAAACCCAAACTGGTTAAAGGAGTGAACTGGAGGGACAGGACCGAGAAACGGACCACACTTTCCACTGGACCATCTCCTCCTTCAGACAACACCGAAGACGTCCCGGACCAAACCCTTGGCTGCGACTACGAACCCACGGTCAAAACACGTGGATGTCACGCTCCCCCTGGCTGGTGGATGCCGCCCTGCTGCTCCCTATTCTTGCTTCATCGCCTGCTTGTCCGTACACGCAGCAGCATCACGTACACGGGGCCCCTGCCCCAGGGACTCAGACCCGCGGGCCGACAGACGCAGCAGAGCCGGGGAGGCTGAGAGAGGACACGGCGGCTGTGGGGGTGAGCGGGGACTCACACTATTCAACCTGAAGGGAGGGAAGCGAGGCCCCATCCAGCCACTTTGACCACTAGACTTTATCCCTTCAACGACTCCCCATTTTTAGGAAAGGGGCTGATTCGATGAGCGTCTTAGAAAGCACGTTGTGAAGAATAGATCCGAAGCACGAGACACTGGGGACAAGGAGATCGGTTAGAGAAACCGAGGAAGAGTGGTGGAGACCCGAACTCCCGCAGCCGCCGCTCTGAGCATGGCCGGAAGTGGGAAGATGCAACCTGAGGACCCTCAGAGCTCAGAGGTTTGCTGCCTACGTGTCTTCCTGCCCCCCTCCCCTCCGGGGCAGACTTCTGAAGAGCAGAGTCTCTGTAGCACATGCCTTTGCATTCCATTAAGGTACCTCTGCTGCTTGCCAGTAGGTCAGGTGTTGGATCAATACTGGTTGAATTCCCAGGAAAAAAAAAAACCTTAAATATTCCATACGAGCAGCTATCACCAGTCCTGACATGAGCTGGACCCAGTTAACCCGATCTCACTATCCCCACTCAAAGTCATTTCTCGTTTACCTTCGAAGTCCTTGTCTCCTTCCGCGAGGCCGCCCTGCAGCTCCTGGGTGCTCTGGCCGCGGAAGAGTCCGTAGGTGATGACGATGCTGCCGTTGGAAGAAGAGTCGCTGACGGCGATGGTGCTGCGGACCCACTGCTGGGTCCCCAGGACGGCGCAGATCACCACGAAAGCCCCAAAGCTGGTGAGGAAACTCGATAAGAACATCAACGTTTTCTTTGTCGTTGGCATTTTTTTTTCCCGGGAGGGAGCAGAAAGATCTTTCTATGCTATTTTTGGACCTTATCAGCTGAGGTCCAGAATTTAGAAACGGAGGCTAATACTTTGTTGTAAAATAGCAGAGCGTGCTCCTCATAGGAAGGGCTATACTAGTGCGCGCTGGACTATGAACATGGTCATAAAGATTTCCAGCGGCTGAACTTTGGTCTGGAGTAAGCGGTTGCTATGGTTACAGCCAGCCGGCAGGAACAAGGGGAGGGTGTGATGTTCCGGAGTCCTCCTCGGTCGTGCAGTTAATCGACTGACTCCTTGTCAAGCGCCCTGGAAGTGAGTTCAGCTGCCACGTCAGGACAGGGCTAGGATTGCTGAATAGTGAGGAGGTAGGAGATCTGTACCCCCAAATGCCGCCGAGTCCAGCAGCCAACAACATAGAGTCTCAACTCATCACGAATTGCTTTACCGGTGGACTTGACTGGTTAGGGTCAACCCTAACAGTCGTTCCGAAAGGAAACCGTGAACAGAGCAAACCTTTGCTAAAGCTACCAGGGAGGGGTCTTTTGTCAATTGTCACCTAACATCTTGAAAATGCAACTTGTATTTCTTCCTTGCCGAGGAGTAACTTCGTAAAAATGATTATGTGATTGTTTCTATCTTTACTATTGATTTCTGTTGTTTCTATTTTTTTTCATTTATTTATTTCTATTTTGTTATTTATTTCTCCTTTTCGATGATTCTGGTCAAAGAGTGTGGTCTTACAATATTTACTGTTTGGATTTTATGGATTTTTTTGTAGTCAATTGATAAGCCACTTTTATAAACGTTTGCAACATTTTTTATCACTCGACACTAGTCAGTTTCACAGATTCACTATCATTCATTTAACAAAGCTGTATTCCAGACATTTCAGCTCTTATGAAAGTCTTTGCTCACGTAATCTTGCTTGGGGACAGAGCGTTAACGACAGCCTTAGGACGGATTCCTGGGGAAGTGTGGCTGGCTCAGGCAGACCGTTTTGGGTTTTGGATACCACATACACACTGGCCTCCAATACATCACCCCACTAGCAATGTGTAAGAAAGTCCTGTGTTATATCGGGCTGGAAAATACCAGCTACTAAGGTTTTAAACTGTGACCAGCTTTGTAGGTAGTAGCGTTACAATTCTATGATCCGCCTTTCTGTCACAATAGTTTTGCCTCTTCTCAGATTCCAAGCAATGCTCTATTACAGTATGTAGCCTTCTGTGTCTGGCTTATCTTGTGATTTATGTGGATGCACCGGGATTTGTTTATCCATTCATCAGTGGATGGACATTTGAGTAGATTCACATTAGTGACTCTTACGACGTGGTTATGAACATTGGAGTGGAAGTCTTTGTGTACATTTATGCCCTCTTTTCTCCTGGGTGGAGAGGTAGGAAAGAAAACGCTGGGACGCAGGGGTGACATGTGTAACTTTAGAAGAAACTGACAGAGTGTTTTCCAAGGGGATCGGACCACGGGGCCCCCCACTGGCAACGAACGGCAGCTCCCGCGGCTCCGTGCCCCCTGCGACGCTCGCTGGCGTCCGCGCCTTCCGGTGTGGCGCGGTGAGTGCCGGGGAGGGGCTCGCGGCGACTTTGGTGTGCACCCCACTGTACCAGTGACGTCGAGCGTTTTTTTAGGTGCTTTTTGCCACCCTCATACTTCTTCATTGGTGGAGTATCTTTTTGAAGTCTTCATCTGTGAAATGTCATCGCTTGACCTGGATACACATTGCAGAGATTGTTCTGTATCGTTTTTTTCTCTCATTCATAGGTTGTCTCTGCAGTCTGCCCTTTGAGTTCCTTGCAGGGAAGTTTTTCTGTATCAAGCGTCTGAGTTGGGGCTCCGTGTGGGGGCCTCTCGCCTTCAGGCACACCGGTTCCCCTTTTGCTGGGCTGTCTGTAACCTCCAGTTCGACAGTTTCCTCTCCAATCGCTTTAGTCCCTTTATCGTTCCCCTCTGCACCCACTGTCACCTCCCTCCAAAGTGTAGGCCTCCCTGGGGGACTCAGTGATTGTTAAAACTGAGGTCCAGTCGGCACAGATCGTCAGTTCCAGGTGTGAAACCTAACGGTCTGACACTTGCACACACTGAAGAGGGTGCCGTGAGAAGCCTTTTCTCATGGTGAGAAGTTTCACTGGACAGACTTAACAGAAAATTAAGCACTGTAGAAGACAAAAAAAAAACAGTATATTTAAATGTACAGCCATAAAAAATGATCAACACTGAAACAGAGAACAAAAAAGGCTTAAAAGGTTAAGAAGTCTCAGTGACCCGTGGGACAGTATTAGGCGACGTCCCAAGCATATCCTTGGTGACCCAGAAACGGGAGAAGGGGAAAGACATTTGGAAGAACTAACGGCTGACACGTTCCCAGATGTAACGAAAAGTACAAACTCACAAAGCAAGAAGCACAACCGATTCCAAGTACGGCAGACACAAAGAAAACCACACTAAAACACATTTTAATCAAATTTATATTTTAAAAGTCACTATAAGGAGAAAATCTTAAAAGCAACATAGAAAAAAAGATACATTAGCTAAAGTATCGACAGAGGTCATAAAGCATGAACCTCACCAAGGCTTTGCGGCGCGGAAGAAACTGGGGTGGGAGGAGCTCGTGCTGCCATTTCCAAGGCGACACAGACCCGTCCCCACGGCGCCCGCCGGGGAGGGAGGGCCCTCGGGGGAGGGGCCTGAGGGAACTCTCTGGGGTGACGGAGGTGTCTCGGGTGACCAGCGGGGGACGGGGTTCTCCAGTCACGTGTTCGTCTCTCTTCATCTCGCCGCACGGTGAGGGGCCGCACGACACCTGCGTGGTCCCCGTGGTGGGCAGGAGCCCAGGAAGGGAAAGTGAGAGTCAAAATGCCGTGAGGACCCAGAGGAGAAAACCAGCCTCCGCTGCCCCGAGACAGGACGGGAACCTGCTGTCCCGGGGCCTGCCCTCCTGGCGTCACGGGTCAACGGCTGCTCACACCTGGGCCTAACTGGGGAGAGGGGACCAGTACTTGAGCAAGGTAAAAACAGAAAGTTCCGGACCCGTTATTAGAGCCATGCATTCTGGCACGTTCTAGAGACCAGGATGGCCGTTCTGAGATTCCTCTCTGTGGGGACAGGTCCTGACGTCCGTTTCTCCTCGCTTGCCACGGCCCGCGGCCACTCACTCACCACGCCTGCCCGCGTCGCGGGGAGCAGCGGTGCGTGGGCGTCCCCGCTCATCAGCTCCGGCCTGCCTCCTGCCAGCCGTGTGCCCCCTGGCTCGGCCTCCCGGGGGCCTTTCTGGCCTGGGCATTTTAATCTGAATCGACATCGACCGGGCCGGAAAGCACGGGGAGCACGGGTGACCTGGGTCACCCCGAAGTCGAGAAGACTCCGAATAGTGACGGTCACCGGAACACGGCCTGCAGCCGCGCTTCTCGGGGAGAGGTCGCGGGGCCTGGCGCAGAGCCACCAGGGGGGGCCGCGGCAGAGCGAGGCGAGGATGGGGTTCGACGGGGCGTCCAGGCCTCGAGAGGAAGCTGCAAGTTGAATGAGGGCCGCGCCCCGGGCTCCTAAAGGGGGGGGGAGGGGGCTGGAGGCTGGGGGGGCCCTCAGAGACCAGTACGGGGGGAAAAGGGAAGTCCCCGGATGTCAGCAGGGGCCTTGAGCTTTGGAGGGGCTGGACAAGGGCGGTCCAGAAGGACACAGGGCTCTGCATGGAAACCCACACGACTCCACCTTTGTGTGACAAGGGTGGATGTCCTTAGACTTCAGGTCAAGTTGAGTGAGGGGCAGTGCTGAATTCCTGGAAGAACCTCCGGGGTCCCACAGAGAGGACACTACCGGGAGGGAAGAGCCATCTGCCCCTCGTCCTGGCACCAGGGCTGCAGACTTCCCAGCAGCAGACGCCTGACAAGGGCACCTGGTCTCTCTCTCCTGGGTTCCCGCGGGGCCGACAGGCAGAACTGTGCTCCCCAGAGCTTTGAAATGAGGCCCTTCCCCTCCAGAAGCCTGGCCCTGCAGGCCGCGCCCCTCCGCCCCCGCCCCGGGGAAACCCAGAGCTGAGTGACCCCACTGCGCTACCCGGTCCCCCCACCCAGGAGATCTCTGGGGGCCGCTCAGAGGGGGCTGCCTGCCCTGCTGGGCTCCAGGGAGACGGGCTGCCTGCCGCTGCCGGCTGGGGCCGCTCCTCCTCTCACCTGCCCGCCCAAGGCTTCCCCTGAGCCCCTCCTGGCTCTGGGGGTTGGGTCCAAAGCTCTAGAGGGAGAGGTGGTGGGGGAGAGGTGGGGGTGGGGGGGTTGAGTCTGGGAGTGCACAGCGCTGAGGGAGGGGCGGGGGGGGGCGGAAGGGGGTGGGCGGGCACCAAAGAGATGGATACACCTCGAGAGAGTCCAGAGCGTCTGTAAGAAGGCGGGGGCAGGTACAGAGGAGGAAGACCCACCCGCCCACTCCCCACCCTCCACCCCCGACCCCCGCTGGGACACGCTTGTCTCTGACACCCAGGGAAGGCTCTCAGGGGTGGGCCGAGGCTCGGGAGCAGCTGATCCTCTCTGGAGCCTGGCTTCTATTCCGAAGGAAGGCTCTCAGGAGGGGACTGGCCTGACCTGGTTTTGTTCTGAGGGTTCCTGATGGTGTGGGAAGAAGGGGTCATTTGGGAAAGGTTGAGGCCAGCACTGGGGGGGGGGGAGTGGCCCCCAGCAGAGAGAGGAAGGCAGTGGGCCGGGGAGGAGGGCACACGTCCGGGGGCCCCGGGCAGCTGGAGGGCCGTGGACTTGGAGCCCGCCCAGAGGCAGCAGCGAGGTGGGCGGCGGGAGCTGGGCCTGCGCCTCGGAGACAGCCAGCAGGGCGGGCGCCTGGCGAGGAGCCCCCCCTATCTGGGGGGCCGTGTTTTCTGGGTTCCCTGCCTGTGGGCGGTGTTGGAAGCCCTGGAGCTGGACAAGACCCCCGGGGACAGCATGCTCCGGCGGAAGGGAGGTCGACTTCAAGTTCTCTACGGGTTTCTCCGCTCTTTACACCCGTGGAAAGGACACGACGCCCTGGCAGGTCATCTGTGGTGGCCTCAGCCGGTCGGCGCCCATTGCTCTTGTGTTTGGGGTGTGCGGCTCTGTCCCCCATGTGTCCTGGGAATTGTCAGTGGCTAGTGATCCAAGG